CAGGATTTGCTTGTATTTCTCTGTGGACAATACTGATCATGCTTTCAACATTCAATAACTACTTCAGAAGAGCACAGATCCATATTTTTATTGTCTGCTTGAGGAATAAAAATGTTGCCCTGGAATACAAGGTAATTATAATAGACCAAATGTGTTTCCATCTGAAACAGAKAACTTCTTCTGCCAGGTCATGACAGATAAAGTAGCTCACATTATCAGAACTGATAGAAAAAGGTCTGTGACAGTCATTGCCACATGAAAGGAGTTGTAGTATATACACAGAGACACCTTTCCAGGTAAAGGGAGAATCTGTGGCTGTGTCAGGCCAGTACTGAGTGGGATTATTATATGAAATTATTATATCTTATATAATACAGTTTATATTTTGCCACATACCATCATTACACTAATTAATATTTGTAGAAAGCGTTTTGGTGGGGAAACAAGTCTCTCTCCCACTTGTATTTGAGTAAATATGATTACATTAAATCTAAAGTTAAAAATGGTCATTTAAGAATACAAATTCCCACATTTTTCATACAGGAGAGGGTATGAATGGGAACCATACAGGAACTTGTGAATTTTCATTCTGCAGTGAATAGTTTACTTGTTCTACAGGGGTGGCTTCCATGAACAGTGGTGTTCAATTCTTGGTCAGAGGGATTGGATGAAGATTTGTTGTGTCATACAGAAGGTGACAATCTCAATAGTTTCATCTTCATGGGAATAGGAGAAAGAGGCAGATGATGTAGATATGGGGAGCGTGGAATTTGGAAGCTGAGCCAGAAGACATGCTGAATCACAGTAGGTAAAGTAAAACAAAATAACCACAGATAGCCAGAATACCTGATGCTTCCAAAATTAATTTCATATTCTCATTTTTTTAATTGATTAATTGTGTATTCTTTGCAAGAGAAAAAAATTGAAAGTCTTTTCATTCCTTGCTAGGATTCAATAAGTCCTTCTAAGCTTCTAAAAATAACTTCTGATTTTAGAGTCATCTTACTTTTTGAAAATTTTTGGCAGAATTATCAGAATACTGATTTGATGTAAGACTGAAACCCAGCTGCAGTTCTTGTCTAATTCAAAATTTAGTATGCTTCTCATCCCTTGCCATATTAACAGAAAACAAAGTTCAGAAACTTCATGACCTGGGATTTCTAGGAAGAAACATTGTTTTAAATAGGAAAAGTGGTAATTTAATCTCGTAGGGAAAAAAAAAGATCTCACAGATCTTTAATTTTAGTTTTTACAGTTTTTCTGGCAGGTGAAAGCAGTCAAGAGAAATTCTTTGCCATTCCATTTAATCCTCTAGCAGAAATCAGCTGATCATTTGATAAATGAGTAATAATTTAATATTTAATTATTCCAGTTTATTTGCAAACATCTTCAACTCTTGAAGGTATTAACTCATGTAAGTTATGAAAATTAGGTGATTAAGGTGTCTGAATCCAAAATATGTCAATGCTGCATTTTATTTATAAACTAACAATGTAAAATTATAATCAAAATCGTAGTTGACTGAAATTTAACATATGCATTAAATATGGCTATGATAGCATATTGATGCAGGGATTAACATTGTACAGTCAATATAGATACAGAGTAATTTTAGCCTGAATGAATTCTGCTGTGTAGTGCAGGTAGATGGGATGTGGGCACGCCATTTATGGTTCAAAGTAACAGCAGTTAAAAGCCTGGGGGGTAGAATGCTAAAGGGGTGTTTTGCTAAACCTAACAAAAACACAACCTTCATTGTGCCCTGAATTTTTAACATGATTCTGCTGCTTCACAAATTCTCTTAAATCAGCATCAGTGGAGGCATGGGTGGGGTCAGAGGGCAGTGAGGCTCGAGCACATTCAGCAGCTGAAATGCTTCTGCTATAGTGGTTAGTCTCTCTTCATGAGGTAAAAGGGAAACATCAGATGCCTTTAACTAGGGAGGAACTGCCTCTTGGTCAGTGGTGGCTTTCAAATGCAGTTATCCCTTGCAGAATAACTACAGTCCTGTCAGGAACAGGAGTGGCACAGTGACTCCATCCACCAGGACCTGCAGTGCATGTCATGGTGTTATGAGGGAATGAGTCACATTCTCGAGTATGAACACACTTTCTTTTGTTAGGATTTATCTCCTTATTTCCCTTTCAGTGAAATGTTTGTTATCCTTTCTATAAATTTGGTTTTTTGGGTTGTTTTTT